TCTTCTTAAATATTTCTCAAAGCAGTCCTCACCTCCTCTTCTCCAACGTATTTGCCTTACTACAGTCCTTCAATATCTCTGATATTGGGGAGATTCTTAATTGGGGGATGCTACCATTGCAACAGCCTCCTAAGTGGTCAAAACTCTCTCTCACTTTTATTTCCCTTTATTTTCGCCCATTCTCCAAAGGTTTCTTCAGAGCATGGAATTATGAGGACATCACACCTTTGCTTTCATAGTTTAACTCCTATTAGATATGCATTTAACATGATATACAGGCTTTTCATTATATAAACTCCACTTGACTTTCTAGTCTGATGCCCCTCCATTCCACCCACTCTGCTTTAGTCTAATGGAAATTAGAAGAGATCCCTGAGAGTTTGAACTTCCCTGTGATTTTATGAAGTTTTATGTGTTCTTCCTTTTGGCTAGAATGTCCTTTCCCATCTTGTCTTCCCAGTGAAGTCTTACATTTTTCAGGATCCTATTAACACTTCCCTTTTGGAATGGTCCCTGACCCCACAGTAAGTTGTCCTCATCTCTGGGCTCCCTCTGTGCTGTGTACAAATCTTTATCACAGCATCTCTTGCAGTGTTCTGGGAAGGATCTCACTCTTCGAGCAACCTAAGGGAAAATACTGTATCCTACTCATCTTGATATCTGCAGTGCCTGTCGCAGTCCCTGGCACATGGCAGATTCCCAGTGAACATGTGCTGAGTGAATTATATGGTAGGAAGAAATCAAGATTCTGAATTAGGTCATCTGGATCTGTGCTTCTCATAATTATTTGTGTGATTTTGATGACATTTCTTTGGGCTTCAGATTTTTTCATCTGTGAAATGAGGAATTAGAGGTAGCTTTTCTGGTAGGCTTTCTCCAGCTTTAATACTCTATGGCTGAAACTATCGCCTATTACAAAGGCTGATATATGTATTTTATTTGATCACAGAATGTTTTATAAAAACTTATGAATACTGAAAAAAAGATTTTTCACATAAAAATTAGAATTTACACTGTATCTTGACAAAACAGATAACTTGATCACATTGGGCCAATTATTCCTTAAAAGTCTACAATTGGCTCTAGCTGAATCATGCTGCCCCTTTCGATGGGGTGTGTGTCTTCTGTTTGGCCAGCCTGCCCATCTCTCTCTTGCCCCCTCTTCACAGACGCAGAGTATAAGTTGTTGCTTATTACCACACTTACACCACAGTTTTCTTCTGGAAAAAATGAGAAACAGAAAAATTTTCTTGTTCCCATTTCTCTCTTAAAAGTAGAAAAATGAAAAATAAACGGAGAGCCTCTTATGTTTCTTATCGTTGGTTGACCTCACTCACTTATGCACATATGTATGTATAATTCCAAACAAACTAAAATTTGCTCATGTGGTACCAATTCAAAATATTCTGGCTTTAGTTTTTTTTCCCACCTTAGTCCACCTGGACTTTTGATGTCCTGATGATCCTTTCAGAAAATATTATTGCCTTAATACAGACAAAGGCCTAATTAATTAATTTGGTATTTCTCTCACCTGAAGCAACTGATGTTTTTATCTAACAATTACTTTATGTTTGAATATTTATCATGAGAACATTCTCTGCTCTTTTCAAATCCTGTTGAAACTACTTCCTGCCCTTCAAGGATGCTTCATATGACTTGAGTGTGCTACGAAAACTTGGTTACTAAGTGGGCACACGGAAATGACTCCACTCATTGTTCCTGCTAGAACTGCGTGTTTGCGTTCACATTTTTTAATGGACTTGCGAATATGTTCTACTGAGGTTAAGGGTTAGGAAACAAGACAGGCGTGAGTTGATGGGGTGGACTGAAGACACGAGTCTAGGGAGGCCGGCATCACCTGATAAAGAAAACAGCTGCTCTCCATTCCCTCCTCTTGTTTTTTACACGCAGGATAAGGCGTTCACCATCTACACGTCGGGCCTCAAAGAACACCTCCCTTGCAGTTTTGCTGGAACCCCTATTCCTTAGCTTAGAACCAGAGGGGGCGGGGAAGGGCCGCTGTCACTCAACCCCGCTGGCCAATAAGAGGAGGGCTATCCCCGCCTCCTTCCCAGGGAGGGATTGAGAGCATGCGCAGTGGGCGTTCCAGCGCCTCCACCCATCAGCTGAGGCTCGTTGCTGGCTGCTCTGGGGCCCTTGGGTGGCCGGGGCCAAAGAAGGAGAAGGAAGCCGAGGAGGTCGGGGTAAGAGGAGTCTATGGAGGGGGTGTCCCTGGCTGGGCGCCCCGAAAGCGCGTGTCCCCGTGGATGCCGCGCCACCTTGTTTGTGCGCGTTGTCAGGTGGCCGCCGCCCTGCGCTTCGCGGCAGGCTTTCGGCAGTCGGAGGGCCGGCGCTGCTCCAGCGCCGGGAGCGCGCTCCTCCCCACGCCCCCCGGGCCGGCGTGGGTGCGCGGTGCGGTCCGGCTGGTGCCGCCGGCCTAGTCAGCCCGGCCCGCCCTGCGCCGGCTGCGCCGCAGCCTCGCCGCCTCCCCCGGCCGCCCCGGCCGCTCTCGCTCAGGCGACCCGGCGGGCTGAGCGCTCCGGGGCGGGGCTGGAGCCCGAGCCGCTCCGGCCCAGCTCAGGAGAACAGCTTCTGCCTCAGGCTGGACACGAATTGACCTCTTCCTCTTTTTAAGGCCCGGATTTAGAAAACACGCTTTAAAGTTCTTCTCCCGAATATAGAAGAACTGAAGATATATATTTCTATAGTAGAGGAACCGTATACGTTTATTCGGAGGCTCATCGTAGTTGGTTTTCTATTTGGCCTGGAGACTGACACACTACCTTTCTTTGATCTTTTCAGTACCTGTCCTTAGTTGGTTTGTATTAAGCCCTTTACAGCTACATAAAATATTCCAAGATGCCTCTCCACCCCACCTCAGCCCACCCCTCTTGTTTTTTAGGTTGTTACTTTCTTTAAATTCAGACAAAAAGAAAACAAAAATGCCTTTCCCGTCAAATGCTATATATTTTTTTACTCTCAAGTTTCTTACATTTGCTTGGTTCTTATAGACATACATTAATTTTTGTTTAATTCAGATCAACATATTCTGACCATAATTATATATAATTTAAAGCTTGCTCGGGATCTGGAAGAAAAGGAAATGATTATGAAATGCTGTGCTGTTTAGTAATATTGGAGGTGGACGTTTCTTCGGGAGTTGGCCTGATCATCCTCCCAGGGCAGAGACTGATAGCAGTGTTCAGCTGTGTCTTGTGATGTGGACACGCCTCTGCTTTGCAGGCCACTTTGAGAAGGTTGTCTCAGACTTGTGACTAGTTAAGAATTATGCTCTAGTTTCAGAGTTAATATGATACCATGTGAACTCATTAACATACACATTTTTCTTCAGATATTTTACTTTTGCTCCCGATCTCAAAGTCAATCTTAATTTTGGTTATGATCTCAAACTTTAGCCAGGTGCTGCTGGGTGAAAAATTGTATAAAACACCTGCAGTAAGTCTGAATAAGATTTGCCATAATTCTATTTAATTTGAAAGTTTAGTGTGTGTGAAAGAGTGAAAAATAATTCTCGGTATTGTTGACTAAACCCAAATAGTATAATAGTTTAATGGATGGAGGAGCTGAGCTAATGAATGCAGTTAATGTAGCTTATGTAGAGAATGCTCATGTCTGTTAGCAGAGTGATCATCCTCACATTCGTGGAACATCTTCTATGTCCCTGGCACTGTGGATTCTACAAGAAGATAGCCTTAGATTAATCTCCAAAGTATATAAACAGCTTATGAAGCTCAATATTAAAAAAACAACCCAATCAAAAAATGGGCAGAAGACCTAAATAGACATCTCTCCAAAGAAGACATACAGATGGCCAAGAGGCACATGAAAAGCTGCTCAACATCACTATTCATTAGAGAAATGTAAATCAAAACTAAAATGAGGTATCACCTCACGCTGGTTAGAATGGGCATCGTGAGAAAATCTACAAACAACAAATGCTGAAGAGGGTGTGGAGAAAAGGGAACCCTCTTGCACTGTTGGTGGGAATGTAAATTGATACAGTCACTATGGAGAACAGTATAGAGGTTCCTTAAAAAACTAAAAATAGAATTATCATATGACCCAGCAATCCCACTACTGGGCATATATCCAGAGAAAACCATAATTCAAAAGACACATGCACCCCAGTGTTCACTGTAGCACTATTTACAATAGTCATGTCATGGAAGCAACCTAAATGCCCATCGACAGACGAATGGATAAAGCAGATGTGGTGCATATAAACAATAGAATATTACTCAGCCATAAAAAGGAACAAAATTGGGATATTTGTAGAGACGTGGATGGACCTAGAGACTGTCATACAGAGTGAAGTAAGTCAGAAAGAGATAAACATATCGTATATTAACACATATATGGGGAATCTAGAAAAATGGTACAGATGAACTGGTTTGCAGTGCAGAAATAGAGACACCGATGTAGAGAACAAATGTATGGACACCAAGGGGGAAAGCAGGGGTGGTGATGGTGGTGGTGGGATGAATTGGGAGATTGGGATTGACATATATACACTAATATGTATAAAATAGATTACTAATAAGAACCTGCTGTATAAAAAAAAAAGATAAAATTCAAAAAAAAAAAAGATAGCCTTGTCTCTCTCATGTTTATGTTCCAGAGGTAGGGATAGATAATAAATGATATACTAACTAGATTATTTTAAATGGTGATTAGTACTATGATGCAGTAGGTTAGATCAGCAGAGTGACAGAGTGGTGACTTCTCACTTCCAATCAAAGTGAATATGAAATGCTTCTCTAGCACGTGATGAGACTTTGCTGGGGAAGCGGAGCAGGTCACATGGAGATCATGGGAAGCGCCCTGCAGGGAGAGGAAATGGCACCAAGCAGTAGTCCAAGGCAGCGATAAGCCTAGGACATCCTGGATCTGAAAGAAGACCCTGGATTTCACTGTCTTAGAAATGGTAATATTTACCCTCAGACTGGGTGTGTGTTCTTAGGAAATAGGTACATTTATTCATTCTACAAATATTTATTAAGCACCTATTGTATATCCAGATGCTGAGAGTAGAGCAGTCCACAAAATAGACCAAAAAAAGAAAAATCAAAACTGAAAACAAAAAACCTGCCCTTCTGGGAACTTATCATTTTTGGAGCACAGGGTGGAGGGAAGTCCTGAGCTTTATGCTGGTGCTCACCATTAAGAAAGTGAAACTGACTATTTCTGTTGCTTTATCCACACAGGATTTATAGAGCATGAGATTTATGTTAATGGAAATCTTAAGGATTCTACACTGTCCAGTAGTAACTAGGGGTAATGTTTGACACTCAAGATTTCTTTTTAAAATTCCCTTTGTTCTTTTATCTGTGCTCTTTAGAAACAGTCTTGAGAAGATTCTCAGTATGAGTATTGCACCTTGATCCCCTCTTCCCGTCTTTCTCTTTATAGTGTTTATATATCCTCATAGCAAGCTAATTATTGAGATTTTTGGTGAGCACTGTTCAATAGAACTTTCTGCTGTGATGGAAATGTTCCATACGTGAGCTATCCTAGCCAGTGACCACACATATGATATCTGAACACTTGATAGTGCAGGTATAGATAATGAATTACTGTTATTCTGAGCAGTAAAACTAGGAATTCTGAATGGGCTTTCGAAAGTATACAGCAAAAGTACTTTAGTGCATCTTAGCTCTGGGCTAGGTGCTGGAGACTGATGCGGAAAGCAGACATCAGAATAACTTGGTTGATGTAGCCTGTGTGCAAAGATCGTACACTGTTAAGTCAGTTTATAGTTAGCTGTCTATCTGTCTGTTTATATACATATACTTTAAAGTACAGTCAGTTATTTGGATCCTTTATTTCTCATCTCATCATCAGGAGAGCCAACCACTGTTGTCTTTTAGATATCACTGTTAGCAGAATAAGAGAGAAGAGCTGTAAGCTATTCAGCAGTGTTACCTTGATCCATGCATGTAGTTATCCCAAGCCGAATTCCTCATCTTCCTTGTGGGTTTAGCAAAACTTCATACAGGGTCTGCAGAAAGGTGATAAATTTGGTTTTTCTACATTGAGTGGGCTCACCTGTCCTTAATTTTGTTATACAGGGAAGCAACAATATGGTTTTGTGTTTTCAAAACATAGACTCTAAGATTTAGTTTCAAATTTTAGCTCTTTTCTTACATTAAACATGTTGCTTATTCTCATTATGCTTCAGTTTCTTCATTTGAAAAATCATATAATAATTGTTGTACCTACCTCATAAACTTGGTGGAAGAATCAACTAAGAAAATACATGTGAAAGTCCTAAACACAACGCTTAGGAAATAATAAGTTAGCTATAGTTAATCTTGTTGAATTTTTCTTTCTCTTCCATCATTCACAGTTTCTTTTCATTCTTCACTCAGCACTGAGCTGAGGGAATCACCATTGCACCCCTTCTCTAAGGAAATGCCAGCCAGTCCAACAGTGGCAGCTCTTTGGGTGAATGAAGCTTAGTTATCTCACCAGCAGGAACTTTCTCAAATTTAGGCCCTTGAGTAAAGGGATGAGGAAAACTGGTAGTTTGTAGCTGATTGGTTGATCCTCTAAAGGGGGGGAAAGGAGACCATAAAAGAAAACAGGAGAAGGTTTAGACCAGACTTGTTTGAGTTTTGAGCGTTGAGGGAAATGCTACAATACTAAGTGGCAATCAACAGGACTGATTATAGTCCCTCTTTGGGGGAGAGAGCAGGCCTCAGCTAATCGTGTGGTTGTGTGGTCCTGATGCAAGGGATCTGATCTGTTGATGCTAGTCCTGTAGATGCAAGAGTGGGTCTTTACCTTTCTTCTGTATAGAGTGGGAAGGTTCTTGGTCCCTGGATGTGCAGTATCTTATTTGGATCCTGGTAGCAGGCCCAAATGCTAAGTGTCTTCCCCAAAGTAGAGATTTCCTGTTGCCAGTTCCACTGGCAGCTAAAAAGGCAGTTGGCAAGTTCCTATAGTTTCAAAGGCATATAGACACTAAAGAGAGTTAAGAGTGTGACTCGGAGATGTGGATGTGAGACTCATTTGTGGGTAGGTGTATTTGTGTATGTAGATGTAAGAGCACCCCTAAGAGAGTACATAAATAAGAAAGAGGAACACTTCCTCATACAGTGTGTTTGTGTGAGCTAGATTTCAACCCTAGTAGGATCGTCAAATTTGTACTTGTAACCTCCCAGATCGACAATTTGGAAAGTGTAAGCCAGTAACTTTAAAAATGCAATTATGTGACTTTTCTTTTGTTATTTAGGTGACTGCTTAGAAAACTGCACAGCCCACAAACAGCTGATGAAATTAGCGAACAAGCAAATCAACTATGTCTTACACTCCAGGAATTGGTGGTGACCCTGCCCAGCTGGCCCAGCTTATCTCTTCCAACATCCAGAAGATCACACAATGTTGTGAGTTGAGTTTTTAAATTGACTTCATTGTTTGTTTTCAATTCTTCATTGAAACTTGGTGGAGATTCAAAAAAGGACAATTAGTGTTCCTCCAAGAGCAGATTTTAAAAGGCTAGACCTCTTTAGAGTAAAGATAAGGAGTAGTTATATTAGAAGAGGTAACACTTAACTGCATTTTTCTGTAGAGTGTCAGGCACCTGATAAGCATTCATTAATGAAGGAAAGATTTAAAAGGATAGATACTTAGGTTTGCATTAAAACTGTCAGGTTCTAGATGAGATAAATGAGATTTGATGAAATCTCATAGGCTTGGCACTGGGAAGCACTGTCAAGCACTATCAGTACTCCTCAGAATATATATAAGAAATTAGAAAAAAAATCCCTGTAGCAGATTTGAACCTATAGAGTTTTTTAGTTTTTCTTTCTGAATCACAGCTAATCATATACCTAGATTATTCCGGTCATTTTGTGGTCAGTATTTTGGCCCTCTGGGCATGCCTGCACTCTTTCAGAGTGTGTTAATATGTATAGTTTTATTCTTCAGCCTACTTCATTAAGGCTACTCTCTTTACCAGAATGCTAAACACACTGTGGAACATCTGAAATGTTTTCAGATGACCAACTGTGTTTCTTTAATCATTAACTTCCCAACAATTATTACTCTGCCTGAATGACTGAAATGAGATATCAGTGTGTTTTGGAGGCAGAGGGAGTAAAACTAGATTATAGATAGTTCTAAGAAAGTGCTGACCTGCACAGCAGTGTAGGATAACCCTTATCCTGATTTGGGGCAGCTCCTGTATTCTTTGGCTGTCCTTGGAGGAGCAAGGAGGGGGATAGCATAGAGGTATCACTTTGTCCCCAGTAGGGTCTATAGGATTGGTACGTCAAGGATTGTTCCAGTTTGTCCTGGGGCACCAGCGTTGGCTGGCTCCACCTTGCTCTTCCTGCTTCAGATTGTTTCCATGGTAGCCAAAAGGGCCTCTCCTTTTTGTGGCTCCCTTGCTGCTGATTAGAAATAGTGCTAGTCTGCCTCAGGCTACTTGTGTGAAAATTATAATTTTAATTTGCACATGTGGAAAATCAGGACATTTATCCAAGAAAGGAGGCCAGGAGGTCTTTTTCTGTAGGATAGGGCAGGTATCCTGTGTTGGGGAAGCTAAACGGTGTCGGGAATTCTGGGAAGAAGATGAGGAATGACTGTAGTGCATGGGGATTACAGAAGCCTTGTGCACTTAGTGGTGTGAAAGATACATGGAGATGTATCTTGGAGATGGTGTGTGAGCTTGAACTGGAAGGAAGGAAGCGTTAACTTCAGTCAGGTTACACTCTCTCAGAAAGAGATCAGTTCATGAGACCAGCCAGATGATATGAGGTAGATTGGACCACAGTTGCATATTCATGGCATAGTTGATAGCTAAGTGTGTGACTACATCGTGGTTTGGGGCAGTCTTGGAGTACATGGGAGGGTGATGATAGGACCCGAAACTCTTGTTTTTAACAGCCTTGTGAAGAGCTGTTAAGGAGACTGGGACTGTTAACTCTGAGAAGGTACAATCACCACCTTCAGATATTTGAAGAACTGTCTTGTCTAAAACACAAGAAATGTACTCTACTTGATCACAGAGGCCTCCACAGATGAACGGAAGCAACAGCTTGAGAAAGGAATAAGGGGTTTTGAATAATCCTAGTTGTTGAGGGATAGAATTGTCTACCTCTGGAGCAGTGCAGTCCCTGTTACTAAGTGAACAGCCTATGGCGATGAGATATTTCTCAGGTCTGTAATTAAGACACTGGAATAATGGTTAAACAGATGACTTTTCATTTTTATGTTAAGTCTTTATTCATTCAGCAAATAATTTATAGAGCACCAACTGTTTGCTAGTCAGTGTTTCAGACCCTGGGAATCGAGCAGTAAACAAGACCCACAAGGTCCTGTTCTCCTGTAGTTTCCAGTGTGAGGAGAAACTGATGGTTTAAACATTTAATGAACAACATAATTCCCTATGAAGAAAAAAAAATGAGAGTGATGTGATGAGAGCAAGTGATGAGGGAGAAGCTGCCTTAGCTTAGGTGGTTCTCTGAATGTGGAAGAGAAGGGGCTGGTAGTGAGAAAATACTGGGAAAGAGCATTTAGATGGAGGCCACAGCTGGTATTTTTAAAAAGCAGTCCAGAGCTTAGGGTGTTCAGAAAATAGGAAAAATCCAGTGTGGCTGAAGCACAGCACTTGAGGCAAGAGTGGCAGGAGATGAAATCAGAGAGGAGGCCAATCAGGTCACCTAAAACCTTGGAGGCCATGTGGAGCTTAAATTTCGTTCTAAGAGGCGGGGAAGAGACACAATCAGATCTGCACTTTGTAAAGATTACTTTGGCTGCTGCGTAGAAAACAGACTTTGAAGAAATAGAAGGAGAACACACAGGCCATGGCAGGGCTCTGATGAGAGAGATGTTGGCTTGCACCAGGGTGGTAGCAAGGGAGATGGAGAGAAGTGATGGATGTACTGTGGAGGCACAGACAGCAGGGCTTGCTGATGCACGGGGGTGGGGTGAGAGGGAGAGGGGAGACCAGGATGACTTCATGGTTTTTGCTTTGAGCAACCAAGTGGATGGTGGTGAGTATGTACTAAGATGGGAAGAACTATAGTTCAGGAGATGTGGGGAGAGTTTTGTTTTGGCCAAGTAAATTTTGAGGTGTCTTTTAAACATCTAAGTGGAGGTGTCAAACATCTAGTTTAGGTATATGAATTTGGAGATCAGAGTGTCATCAGAATATAAATGGTATTTAAAACCATAGGTCTAAAATAATCACAAAGGAGTGAGTAGAGTTCAGAGAAGAGTGTTGGAGCATTTTAAAAAATGCAGAAGTCAGGAAAGCAGGGAGAAAACACCATAGTCAGGGAAGGAGTGACCAGTGAGGTAAGAAGAAAATCAGGCTCTACTGGGTTTCCAGAAATTCAAAGAGTGTTTCAAGAATGAGTGAGGCATCATGTGTCTAATGCTGCCAACAGACTGAATGAGATGAAAGCAGAGAATGGGATCTGGCAAACTGGTGTCTTTGAAAGAATAAATCCCTGGATATATGCCAGGGATGCAAAGCTGGTTCAACAACCACAAATCAGGCCATGTGATATACATACACCACATTAACAAACTGAAGGATAAAAATCATATGATCATTTCAGTAGATAGAGAAAAAACATTTGACAAGATTTAACATTCATTTATGATAAAACTTCTCAACCAAATGGGTATAGAGGGAACATACTTCAACATAATAACAGCCATATGTGACGGGCCTGCAGCTAATATCATATTCAGTGGTGAAAAGCTAAAAGCTTTTCCTCTAAGATCAGGAACAAGATAAGGATGCCCATTATTGCCACTTTCATTCAGAAATATTGGAAGTCCTAGACAGAGCATTTAGGCAAGAAAAATAAATAAAAGGCATCCAAACTGGAAAGGAAGAAGTAAAACTGTCACTGTTTGTAGAGGACATGATATTATATGGAAAACCCTGAAGACTCCATCAAAAAACTGGTGGAACTAATAAACAAATTTAGTAATGTTGCAGGTTACAAAATCAGTACTCAAAATCTGTTGTGTTTCTCTACACTAATAACAAACTATCAGAAAGAGAAATTAAGAAAATCCCATTTATAATTGTATCAGAAAGGAATAAATTTAACCAAGGTTGTATACTGAAAACTGTCAGACATTAAGGAAAGAAATTGAAGAAGACACAAATAAATGAAAAGATATTCCATGCTCATGGATCAGAAGAATTAATATTATGTCCATACTACCCACAGCAATTTATAAATTCAGTGCAATCCCTATCAAAATTACAATGGTATTTTTCACAGAATAAACAGTCTTAAAATTTGTATGGAACTGCAAAAGACCCTGAATAGCCAAAGCAATCTTGAAGAAAAAGAACAAAGCTGGAGTCATCACCCTCTCTGATTTTAAACTCTATTACAAAGCTATAGCAATTAAAACAGTATGGTATTGGCATTAAAGACAGACACATAGATCAATGAAACAGAATAGAGAGCCCCGAACTAAACCCATGTATATATCATCAGTTAATTTACAGCAAAGCCAAGAATATACAATAGAAAAAGGATAGTCTCTTCAATAAATCACGTTGGGAAAACTGGACAGCCACATGGAAAAGAATGAAACGGGACCACTCTCTTACACTATACACAAAATTAACTCAAAATGGATTAGACTTGAACATAAGACCTGAAGCCGTACAACTCCTAGAAGAAAACATAGGTGGTAAGCTCCTTGACATAGACCTTGGCAATGATTTTTTGAATCTGATAACAAAAGTGAAGGCAACAAAAGCAAAAATAAACAAGTAGGACTACATCAAACTAAAAAGTTTCTGCACAACAAAGGAAACCAAAAAGATAAGAAATAACAGGTTCGGTGAGGATGTGGAGAAAAGGGAACCCTTGTGCACTGTCGTTGGGAATGTAAATTGGTTCAGCCACTATGGAAAACAGTGTTGGAGATTCCTCAAAAAATTAAAAGTAGAATTACCATACAATCCAGTAGTACTCTTCCTGGGTTTTTATCCAAGAAAAACAAAAATACTAGATTGAAAACGTATCTGCACTCCCATGTTCATTACAGCATTATTTACAATAGCCAAGATATGGAAGCTACCTAAGAGTTCATGGATAGACAAATGGATAAAGAAGATGTGGTGGGTGGGTGGGTGGGTGGATGGATGGATGGATAGATAGATAGATATGCACAATGGAATGTTATTCAGCCATTAAAAGAAAAAGAATGAAATCTTGCCATTTGCGATAACATGATTAGACCTCAAGGGCATTGTGTTACGTGAAATAAGTCAGAGAAAGGCAAATAACATATAATCTTTCTTATACGTGGAATCTAAAAAAAAACCCCAAACCAGAAAAACTAAGTTCATAGGTATGGAGAACAGATTGGTGGTTGTCAGGGGTAGGGGGTGGGAGAAATG